TGATGCCCTCAGCCGGGAACCATTTGTTCACAGAACAATGTCTCAGAAGTTGATTAGGGTGGCATACAAAGATCTCTTGGCGGAAGCCACAGTGGTGTGTGCTTATGGGGTGCAGGAAGCCTTTTGTTGTTCAGCCCATCCTGGAGAAAATGGCATGGAGAAGGGCGACCCAGCAACATCAGGGAGCGTAGCTGCTGTGGTGACAGGATCGCTAGCAGCTGAGGAAGTCTCTGCGGTCCTCCAGGCGTGTGAGCAGCAGGAGCCGAGGCTGTGCCGGCAAGCACTTCTCTTGCCCCATTTTCCACAAACAGGACAGACAGTAATCCCTCATGAGGAGCTGCTGGAGAAGCGTTTTTGTTTTATATGCACAGATTTAACAACTTTAAACAACTATCAATGGCGGTTGAACTTTAAATGCACAAAAATATGCCATAAATAGTTTCCACGATCAAAGTAGTCACACTTTGTTGATCCAAACACTGCTTATCTCTCAACACAAATGATAGGCAGATTAAACAGTTCATTTCGATGCTTCTCCCTCACAACGGGTGTTTGGATCTAACTTTTGCGTTTATTGCTCGGACTGTATCGCAAGATCTCGAAAATCCCGCGCATGCCTGTTTGCGCACCTCAGGTCTCCCCGTCTAGTTAAGAGATGGCGAAAAAAAACGCTGTTTGATGTGTCAAGACGTCGTAAAATACGACGAAAACTCTCCCAGAACGCCGTATTTGACGCCGTTCTTAACGGTCCCATAGAACACCCGTAAAAAACAATGTTTTTTACATCACCCTAATCCCAGACGCGTTCCCTGTGTGGGTGGCGTAAAAAACGGCATTTGGTACGGACTTTGAACGCCGCTTATTTCGCCGCTCTGTGACATAAAACGCCGTTTTTAACGCCACTTTGTGACAGTTTTCACGCGTTTAAAATTCAACTTTACTCTCTTTTAAGCAGAGCCCTGCCCATGGGTTTCTCATCCACTTAATTTAAACTCCAGTGACCCAATGAAAGACGAGAAGGTTGAAGCAGCAATAATTCAATCAATCAATTAATCAATCAATCAATCAAAGCTTTATTTATAAAGCGCCTTCCGCAACCCTGTCAGGAAGCCCAAGGCGCTGAACATGGTACAGTAGAAGGTAAATATATTGAATAAATCAAAAATTCATCCCAGATTCGCCAGGCTGTGCAGACTACTGTTTTCTAATACAACTCTACTCTGTTTCAACTAATTTCACTGTATTGAAAAAGCCTTGAAATGTAGTAATATTATCAACAATGTCTCAACATTATTATATTTTCTGTCCACCTGTAAAAGGCAGAAACGCTGTTTCAGTCAGACCTGATGATTACTTAAACGTGTGGCCACTAGATGGTGGCCCGTATCAGTCTGTCCTCGTTTCGTGGCTCGTGAGTCCAGCTGGAACATCAGTGCTCTTTCTGTCCAAAACTCCATTCTTCTTAAGTTCATCCACTTTCAGTATTTACTATTGTTTGTTTGTTTTTTTGTTGTTGTTTTTTTTACTACTGTTATACTTGTCTTACAGGAGCTTCTGAAGATGTTCTGTCTTGCTTCTCCATCATCACTCTCCAGATCCTCAGACCAGCCACTCCAGAACCTTCCCAGATCCAGGATCAGAGCACTTTAATTAAAGTTTGAAACATGTCTGCTTGTTGTTCTCCTATAGAAGCCTTAAACTAGAATTTGCTAATGAGCTTTCTTGGCTAAAATATGCTCTTGAATGTTTTTATTTACATAATCAAGAAACACGTTTTTCATTGCTGCTTCACCAAGACATGACTCTGAAAATGTCCTCATGATCCTGAAACGCTGGTTAAAACAAATTACTTTCAACCTCTTATAAAACAAACGCGTCTGTTGATGATTATGCCCACTACAATACTGAAGCACCTGCATACTTGCTACCGATTTGCTAACTTTCTGTAATATTTGATATTTAAGTTGAAAACATGAACTGCTGAAACACAAATTTCAAATGTTCTAGATGAGCACTTGTTTCTAATCAACTAATCATTATTTCTGTGATTAGTCAGCTTTTTTCTTTTCAATAAACACATGGAAAAATTACAATTATCTTACTGAAAAAATGGTTTAACAGTGTTGCACATGTATAATAATCTGCACTGGTTTTGACAGTTACGGCATTTTTCAAACTATAATAATAAAATAAAGTGAAAAGATATTTACAATTGATTACTTCAAGTTCCTACTATCATGTAAGCAGAATGGTGGCTTCTTGTCATTCAAGGTGTGTACACCAAAACACCAAAAACCATTTTTGTGTTTGTGTGTGTGTCCTAAAGCCGCTACTTTTAGGAACAAATTTATTTACAGAACACTGTATTATGGAACCAAATCGTTCCACTATAAAGATGGCCGTCACGTTGAACATTGGTGAATGTAGTTCCTGTAGAGGTGATGCCAGAATTGTCATTAAGAGCAAACCTGTCTACTCTGAAACAGTAGTTCATGTATTTCTGAAATTATTAAGAATCTGTTTTGTTTTTCACTCATATTGACCAATGATATTCATCTAATTAATAACTACAAAGCAGTTCAATATGATAATGAAAATTAACATCATATAAATTTAATTAGTCAGCGCGCCCCAGGGCAGCTGTGGCTACACTTTAGCTAATCACCACCAGGGTGTGAATGTGTATGTGGGTGGGTGAATGACTGATTGTGTTGTAAGGTGCCTTGGGAGGTTCCAGGACTGTAGAAGGCATATCAAATACAGGCCATTTACCATTTTTGTGTTTTCACAGAGCAAGAGGTGGAACACACTTTTGAGGAGTTGCTGGTTTTCATAACCGGTGCTGACAGCTGGCCACCACTGGGATTCCCACAGTCCTGCAATATAAAGTTTTATGACCAGGAGGTTGGGAAGTGCCGCATCCCATATGCATCTACATGCAGCCTGTGCCTGTTCTTACCAAGGGGTGTCGCAGACGAGGAACTATTTAAAGAGCTGATGCACACTGCCTTAAAAGGATCGCTTGGCTTTGGAAAAGCCTAGGCTGCATTTGCATCAGATGTCAATGCATTAAATGTTTAGATTTGGATTTTGAGGGAATCAGTTCTAAATATCTTTTCACATGTTCTTTGTTTGTTTCTTTAGAGTTGGCAGGATGTTGTAAGAATGTACGACTGTACGATTACTTTTATATATGTGTAACACTGGCAGTAAACCTTTTTCTGTTCATTTGGGAGGTGTCTATGTATTTTAAAAGAAAAGCTGTCTAATCACAGTACAATAATTGTTATATGAATTAAATCCTGCTGATTAAAATCAGCTACTCATCTAGGAGTTTGTATACTCGTGTGTTACAGCAGGTTCGTAATAATTTCAAATTTTGTATCAAACTATTTCTGTCAGCAAAAAAACGCACAGAAAGTCTTAAAGTCTTTCAGTCTTGTGTGTTGAGTGTGTCAATCAAACAAGTTGAGTGTGTGTTTAAGAGGAGTTACAAAGTGTTGGCCTTAGAAAGTAGATGAGCCTCTCCCACAAACCACATTTTTTAAATTCAGGACATTACGGAGTGTGCTGACAGACAACGATGAAGCTGATCATCTCCATTTGTACAGGAGGCAACCCTCTGCTTACTAAAGAACCCGTATGAGAACATTCCATGTGCAGCTAAAGATCTGTAAACTAAATCATGTCTGGAAACCACCAGGGACCAGGCCCAAAAGCATGCTGAGCTGCTTTGTGTCATAAGGCGCAAACACGAGAAACCTAATTAACACCCAGAGATTCTTACAGAAGGAACAACTCCAGCTGATATGTTTCGTTCATTCATGTCTTCCTAAATCTATATCTAATTATACATTTGTAAATATTTTTCATAAATTGTAGTGCTCAAAACCTAAAGAGACAGTCGCTTCAGTCGATCTGTTCTGCTTCTGCAGCCAGACACTCAGCCAGTCCAATAAAAGTACAGGCACTGACTTTGTATGCCTTAGTAAACAGCCATTTACAGTATCGATGCATAAAATGTAAATAGTAGGAACTTGAAGTAATCAGTTGTAAATATCTTTTCACTTTATTTTATTATTATAGTTTGAAGAATGCCATAACTGTCAAAACCAGTGCAGATTATTATACATGTGCAACACTGTTAAACCATTTTTTCAGTAAGATAATTGTAATTTTTCCCTGTGTTTATTGAAGAGAAAAAAGCTGACTAATCACAGAAATAATGATTAGTTGATTAGAAACAAGTGCTCATCTAGAACATTTGAAATTTGTGTTTCAGCAGTTCATGTTTTCAACTTAAATATCAAAATATTACAGAAAGTTAGCAAATCGGTAGCAAGTATGCAGGTGCTTCAGTATTGTAGTGGGCATAATCATCAACAGACGCGTTTGTTTTATAAGAGGTTCTGACAGACTGTTCTGCATCAGGGTCATTTCCTTCCATTTCACTGTTTACAGGTTCAGTGTCATTCACCTGAGTTTGAGTTGCTTCCTCATTAGTTTTGTTTGAATCCAACACATTGTCCATTTCATTTTGTTCAGTCATGTGAACTTCCGGTGCAGGTTCAAGCAACATTTCCTTTTCAGGTGGGTTCTCCATTTCAGGTATTTTGTCTTTTTCAGGTAGATTTTCCATTTCTGGTTTGTTTCCACAATCAGGTAAGTTTACATTTACAAGTGCTGGCCAGTAAATTAGAATATCATCAAAAGGTTGAAAATATTTCAGTAATTCCATTCAAAACGTGAAACTTGTACATTATATTCATGCAATGCACACAGACCAATGTATTTCCAATGTTCATTACATTTAAATTTGATATTCATAAGTGACAACTAATGAAAACTCCAAATTTGGTATCTCAAAAAATTAGAATATTCTGAAAAGGCTGAATATAGAAGACACCTGCTGCCACTCTAATCAGCTGATTTACTCAAAACACCTGCAAAGGCCTTTAAAAGGTCCCTCAGTCTTGTTTTGAAGACACCACAATCATGGGGAAGACTTCTGACTTAACAGCTGTCCAAAAGACAATCATTGACACCTTGCACAAGGAGGGCAAGACACAAAAGGTGATTGCTAAAGAAGCTGGCTGTTCGCAGAGCTCTGTGTCCAAGCACATTAACAGACAGGCGAAGGGACGGAAAAAATGTGGTAGAAAAAAGTGTACAAGCTCTAGGGATAACCGCACCCTGCAGAGAATTGTGACGACAAACCCATTCAAAAATGTGGGGGAGATCCACAAAGAGTGGACTGCAGCTGGAGTCAGCGCTTCAAGAACCACCACGAGGAGACTCATGAAAGACATGGGATTCAGGTGTCGCATTCCGTGTGTCAAGCCACTCTTGAACAAGAAACAGCACAAGAAGCGTCTCGCCTGGGCCAAGGACAAAAAGGACTGGACTGATGCTGAGTGGTCCAAAGTTATGTTTTCTGATGAAAGCAAGTTCTGCATTTCCTTTGGAAATCAAGGACCCAGAGTCTGGAGGAAGAGCGGAGAAGCACAGAATCCACGTTGCATGAGGTCCAGTGTAAAGTTTCCACCGTCAGTGATGGTGTGGGGTGCCATGTCATCTGCCGGTGTTGGCCCACTCTGTTTCCTGAGGTCCAGGGTCAATGCAGCCGTCTACCAGGAAGTTTTAGAGCACTTCATGCTTCCTGCTGCTGACCAACTTTATGGGGATGCAGACTTCACCTTTCAACAGGACTTGGCACCTGCACACAGTGCCAAAACCACCAGCACCTGGTTCAAGGACCATGGTATCCCTGTCCTTGATTGGCCAGCAAACTCGCCTGACCTTAACCCCATAGAAAATCTATGGGGTATTGTGAAGCGGAGGATGCAATACGCTAGACCCAACAATGCAGAGGAGCTGAAGACGACTATCAGAGCAACCTGGGCTCTCATAACACCTGAGCAGTGCCACAGACTGATCGAGTCCATGCCACGCCGCATTACTGCAGTTATTGAGGCAAAAGGAGCCCCGACTAAGTATTGAGTGCTATACATGCACATTCTTTTCATGTTCATTCTTTTCAGTTGGCCAACATTAGAGAAACAAACATTTTTTCATTGGCCTTTAGAATATTCTAATTTTCTGAGATACCAGATTTGATGTTTTCATTGGTTGTCACCTATAAATATCAAAATTAAACGTAATAAACATCGGAAATACATTGGTCTGTGTGCATTGCATGAATATAATGTACAAGTTTCACGTTTTGAATGGAATTACTGAAATATTTTCAACCTTTTGATGATATTCTAATTTACTGGCCAGCACTTGTATGTCCATGTCCTCTTGAGCAATATCAGGCACTGTCACATGTTCTGAGGCTTGAGAATTGTCTGATTTGGGTTGCTCATTTACAGGGTTTGTCTTAGCCTTGGGAGGAAAGACTACTTTGTATTCTTCAAACGACCTAGAGATCTCTTTGAGAGTATCTGAAGGGTAATAGAGGGGGTAGTTTTCCTCTTCCTCAGAGTTGTATTCAAGCTCCTGTTCGTCAGGATCAGTTGTTGGGTGTTGGCGTGTGCTTGGCCATTGGGGCTTTACTTGTACTGCTGGAGGATTTTCAGGGGCAGTTGGCAAAAACCCACAAGGTAACAAAAGGTCTCTGTGAAGAGTTCTAGTGGGACCATTGTGATGCTCCGGTTTGACTGTATATACAGGGAGGTTGTCTTTTTGACTAACAACCACATGGACAATGGACTCCCACTTATCAGCCAACTTGTTGTTTCCCCTAATCCGAACATTCCTTACAAGCATGCGATCTCCGACACCTAGGACAGATTCAGTTACATGTTTGTCATATCTAGTTTTGTTACGTTCAGCAACTTTGCTAACATTTTTGGTAGCCAGTTGGTAGCTCTCCTGAAGGTGAGATTTGAGGGCTTTAACGTATTGCGAGTGAGACTGCTTCTGGCGATTGTTCAGTGGGACATTGAAGGCAAGATCAATGGGTAGCCTAGGCTGCCTACCAAACATTAACTCATACGGCGTAAATCCTGTACTTTCACGTTTGGTGCAATTATACGCGTGATCAAGTGGCTTCACAAAATCACGCCAGTGTTTCTTGTCTTCTTCTTTGAGGGTACCCAACATGTTTAGTAAGGTTCTATTAAACCTCTCCACAGGGTTCCCCCTGGGATGGTAGGGTGAGGTTCTGCTCTTTTGAATCCCAGCTAGGTCGCATAACTCTTTGATAGTTTTAGACTCAAAGTCTGCCCCCTGATCGCTATGCAACTTCTCGGGAAAACCATAGTGGATGATAAAGTTTTCCCACAGTACCGTGGCTACAATTTTAGCCTTTTGGTTGGGAGTAGTTATTGCCACAGCATACTTTGTAAAAAAAATCTGTAATGACTGACATCTTTAGTGTTGCTGCGATCTGGTTCAATAGTTAAGAAGTCAATACACACTAACTCGAGAGGTATGGTGACTTGAATATTTACCAGGGGTGCTGCCCTCTCTGGTAGGGTCTTTCTGCAAACACATCGGCTACAGCGTTTGATCCTTTGCTCTATATCTGAGGCCATTTTTGGCCAGAAAAATCTGGTTCTGGTTAGATCAAGTGTCCGGTCAAAACAGAGATGACCCATGTCATCGTGTAGGCTTTTGAAAACCATAGGTCTTAGGCTTTCAGGGAGAACGAGCTGGTACTGGGTTTCTTCACCTACTTGCCTTTTTCTGTACAAAATCCCATTCTGCAACTCAAGTTTATTTAGCTCACGTAGAAGATTGCGAAGTTGTGGGAGTTCATTGCGTACAGTAGGGGGAGATGTTTCACCTGTTTCAAGCTGGTGTATGATCTCATTGATAGCAGGATCGTTAATCTGACTTTGTTTTAACTCTTTTTCTGACATGCTTGGAATGACAGGAAAAGCGTTGCACTGATCAAAACTGTCGGGTACAGCATTAACAGACATAGACAAGGATGTTACGAGTGGACAGGCGAGAACATTGTCTGTGTCATGAGACTGGAGGACTAGGTGTCTTTCACAGACTGCACTGACAGCTTGAGCCGGAACGTGTGTGAAAGGATCGGTACCGGGCAAGTGGTGTTGCACAAACTGACGGATCCGCTCTTGTTCCTTCAGGGAGACAAGGTCGTTTAACGGCTCGGGATGTGGATGTAAAGAAAAACTTGGTTGGTTTAACCATATTGTAAGGAGAAACTGTCTTTACTCAGTTTTATTGTTAAGGGGACTCAAAGGTTGTTTTTATCGATAAACTGCCGATAATATCTTAGTGTCTGTGTTTCAGTTCAATGAGGAAGCCAGTTTGACAATTAAAAGTTTTAATTCTTCAAATTAAACTAATGATTTTGAAATTGACAAACAGGAAATGACAATCAACATTGGCAACTTTGTGGGACAATCTTTAACAGTTGATATGCTGTTCTTGCTCAAATAGACCTTCTGGTGAATTTATGAAGATTGAGAATGTTGTGAGTTGTGAGAGTGATATGATGTGATTATGGATGCGTGTGGGTGCAAAGTGTGGTGAGATGAGGTGAGATGGATGCGTGTGTGCATCTGATTTTGCTTCAGGAAGAAACAGGTGTCTGAGTGAAAAGTGATGGTTTGAATAAACTTAGGTTTAGTTGGAAAAGATGCATCCAAACGCTAAACACCGTGTTCTGTCTCACCAAACTCTTGTGGACCCTCTTTCGGATCCGGGCCGTGGAGGATGTTGTGGTTCATCCAGATGACACTCAACGGCTGACAGGGAAGACGTAGGTGTCGAACGGAACCGGTCCAGAGTTGCCCTCGGTACACGTTGATGGTAAAGCGTTTTGTCGACGCGCTTTCTTAAGTTAATTCACTCAGAAATCAAAAGACTCGGCAATGAGTCTGCGTTAGAAGTCGCGATTCAGCTATTCTGCCTGGCTTGGCAGGAACAGCGTGAAAGGGGGGAAGAACGAGCCAACCGGCTCTGCCCCCCCTTTGGTTTTCAGGTCCACTCTCTTTCGTTGTCCAACACGAACTGAACTCATAAGACTGAAACTTACCAAAAACCTTTCTCTTCTCAAAGCAAACGTGTGCGTCATCAAATGTGTCTGGAGTTTACTGTGGGAAGATGTGTGTGGGTGTGTGTGAATGTTTGTGTGTGAAGGTCAGTAACAAACACTCAACATTATCTACTTAAGTGTGGATTCATTAATCCATTATAATTACCCCAAAGCATAAGAACCATTCATTTGATTAAACACATTTATAATGAGCAAAATGATAATGGTTACTTTAACAATAAAATCAAGAAAAAGAAGTTTAAACTTTATGTTTTGACTTGGTCTGGGTACAACTCATGGAAACACATCTTCTGGTAGACTGCAGGTGGCTGATGTTATGGTTTCCTCCCAGACTCGCTGGCGTTCAGGTCTTAATCTGTGGGTGAAAGTTCTCAATGACCCAGCTTTGACCCAGCTGAGTCCCACACCACCATTGTGACAGAAAACCCATATTTCCTCACGTTACAGACCCCCCTTTTTGTGACGACATGGTGGTCAAGCAGAGGCCACCTGACGACACAACCTCAATAACGTGATGTACTCGTGAAGGTAGACATCCCAGATGAAGGCAGGAACGATGAAGCGTCTCCACAGGTCTCGTGTAGAAGGGAGTATATCCTGCTCAGATGATTAAGGCCAAAACTGTTGCAATCATTGTAAAGTAATCCACTTAGGAAATCTTGAAAGCAGAGCTATGTCAATAGCAGTTAATTTCATCAGCAATAATGCAAAGGTATTCAAAGGATAAGCAGCTCGTGTGCCACACGGAGCTGGGCAGGTGATGTATGCCTCAGGCGTAATCCAAGTGAAGTCCAGCGCAGACCTCGACCCATCTCGAACCACGACCGAAGCCCCATGCGACAGGAAACCAGTTGAAGGAAGGTGAAGACGACCCCTCTGATGGGATGTAGTCCATACGAGCTCGGAGAAGGAGACAAAGTGAGACAGCCCACACGATAGATAGCATTTGATGCAAATCAAAGAAATCAATCAAAACCTATCTATGGGTACCTCTGGGAAAATGTGGATGCCTTTTGTGAATTATCTAAAGAAGAAATGTTCTGCACCCTGTTCTACATGTCATGTAAAAACGTGATGCAGAGAAAACACAAATAAAAGAAAGTAAATCCTAACTGATATGTGAGACTCAGCAGGCTGCACTAATTAAAAGCACATATATAAAAGAAATAATCATGAAAATGAAGGGCAAATCGGCTTGTGGCCCTTTAAGGGAAATAGTAACAAAATAAAATTAAATTTGTAATCAAATACAATCATGCTACACAAAGCACTAATAAAAAGATAGAGATGTAAATCAATTCTAAAAATGTAAATCAGTAGGTTAGTAATCCCTAAAAATGTGAGTTAGTAACAGGTGTCCTGGCTGGAGGCAGGCAACCTGAAAAAAAAATTCAAAGGATATCACATTTGTTAAAAATTCATCCCACAAACGAGAGAATTTGTAACGGTCCACCAGTTAGTGGAAAAGAATCCGGTCAGAATAGAGTTGGTCAGAATAGAGTTGTTCAGTATAGAGTTTCGAATCTGGTATTGCGGACCCACAGAGACACGAGTTTGGACGTATCTGTGGGAGCAGGCTCATAAGCGATTTGGTTATCAAACTGTTTGTATCTTGTGTTACGAACCCACAGGGAAACTTGTCTGAATTTACCTGAGGGTTCCGTCCGGAACTCGAGTGAAGCTGATGGTGTAATTGTTAGATCAGAACCTGATTTTACCTGCTCAAAGTTGGGCTGCAGCTTTACGGAGGCGACTTTGTTGTGATCAGAAATAGTAGTGAACTGGAAATGCGAAAATGATGCTCGCAAAGCAGGAGGAGGCTCCCCACCCCCCTTTTGTTGCTCAAACTTATGCCGTGTCTGTGAGACAGGAGAAGCATAACAAAGAACAGTTCTTAAGCTCTTAAAAGGCCTATTACCAAGAAGATGCACAGCGTCACCTGAATCGTGCTGAAAGAGTAGGTGTTCAGATGTCCAAAGACCTGGAGGTGTTGGACTTGGAGGTTCTGAAAAGGAGTGATCCAAGGATGGTTGTGTCACGGGTGTCAAAGCAAACCTAGCCATGTTTAGAATCAGATACAGACATGACACTATCGAAAGGAACATGTTCTGCCCTGAAAACTGAAGCCAAGAATACTTTATACCCAAGAATGATGGAGGTGCCCACACAGAATCAGAAAAACCCGGTTTAACCAGAGTAATTACAGACTGACTAGAACTCCGCCCCGTAGAAGGTGCAGCACCTAACTCCGGGTCGGAGGTCAATGTTGTCAGCTGAATTGGTGGAAGGTCAGTGTCGAGTTCTGCAATGACCCGCCCGCTCGGAGGAGGCGTTCCCCCGAACCGGTTGAAGTCCGCAACGGAAAACTCAGTGCCACTCGGCACCCCCCTTTTGTCAGCAGGGTTCCCGAGCAGAGCATCACTGCACTCACCTACTGCTCGCGGGCCGGGTGGCCATCCCGTGCCCGTGAGAGAGGTGATCGCAGCAACCACCGAGCCTCCTTCAATATCGCCACTGACCACTTGACTGCTGGAAACCGCAGGTTTTACTGCGCCGTCGTGGTCACCTGTAAGAGAAATCACAGGAAAGAGAGCACAGAGGCCAGAGACTAAGTCACACCCCTGTGAAAGGAGAAAAGAATTGGCCACCGTATTAGCAGAGGTCACAAACTGAAAAGTGACAAGGTCATTCACATAAAGGTCAAGATGTCCGGGCCCAAACCCCTTAAATGGCATGGTAGCTCCGTCCGGAGACCACAAGTGTTTCACGGTGGCTGACGTTTCCATCACGCCCCGATAAAGAAGCTGGCTTGTGCATGAGGCGGACTGACGAGTAAAGCAGACCTCTGACTGAAGTGGTGGGTCACAGCCTGAAGATTTCACACCCATGCTGGAGAGATGGTCAGCCTCTAACACGGATGACAGAGAAGAAGCATCAGGAACCAAAGGGTTAAGCACAACCTGTTTGTCAGAGAGGTTAACCATAGGCTCAAGAGATTTATTCAGCTTAAAAGCAGCAGAGAAAGTGTTGTTTATTTCAAACCTTGATATTGATGGTGGGTTTTTGACCCCCTGGAAGAAATAAAGGTAAAGAAAATGCGTTATGACTGTAAACAGCATGTTGCATGAATTCACGTCATGAATTGCAGACCAGAACCACCTCCGACCCAGTGCAGCTGGCACCGAACCGCTGCCACTAGTCCCCACCGTGCCCGACCGGCGGCACCCGCCTAATGCGGGCCCGTTCAGGCGGGCGGAGGGACCAGCGTGGCCCGGCCGGTAAACAGACTCCTGCGTCTTGGCATGTCCTGGAAGCAGAACGTCAGAGAACCTTACATCAGGTGTAACAGTGCAAGAAAGATTTTGTCGTGTCTCGTCCATCTCTCATTAAGTTCAGAGCAACTCGCGTTTTTACCTTCTGAGTCGACGTAAAACTCCGGGCAAATTCCTTAATCTATCTCACAATCAAGGACTGTCCGTAGCGTAACTTAACTTTATGACACAGGGTAAAACAAGGAATTGTTGATAGAGAAATGAATACACACAACTTCACAAGATGGAAGAAAAAGGCATGGATCCGAGCAACGGAGGCTGTGAAAGCCGACCCGTTCACCGGTCCAAAATAAAAATAAAAAAACAATAAACCCTACGCTGCCGAGAGTATCCAACCTTGAAAATAAAGACTAATGAAAAATGCTAAACAATTAAAATATTGGCCAACCACAGTTCATGTATATTAAAATGTAAAATTTCCAGCTAAATTAGAATAAATGACTAAAAATATCAATGAAAAAAGATTAATTTGTTAATAGACTACATAGAATTTTATTCAAAAAAAGAAAAAAAATCTCAGTGTGCCTTTAACAGAGCTTTAGAATTAGCTTATGTGTTCAATGAGTGGGTGACATTTTTTTTCAGTGTGGTGGTCTCTGGTAGGATTGAATACCTCGTAAATGGTTTTCAGGGGGAACAATTATACTGTTGCACCATTTCTCAGACCTAAAATTTTCTCACATCACAGCTGAGCTTTAGGCCCTGTCCACACGTAGCCGGGGATCTGCCAAAACGTAGATATTTTTCTACGTTTTGGCCTGTCATCCACACGAAAACTGAGTTTTTTTCACATGAAAACGGATCTTTTTAAAAACTCCGGCCAAAGTGAAGATCTGCGTTTTCTCCGTTTTGGGTGTCTGCGTGTGGACAGACAAAACCGGAGTTTTAAGGTCCCCAACGTCACTTTCCGCGACAAAAAATGCTGACATCACCTGTGCGACCTGTGTTTACACTAGCCGACAGCATGGACGCCCTCAGAGCTGCGCTCGCTTTATCAACTGTCCAAGCGCTTTTTGCTTGTTTGTTTTTGCAAGCGGAATTACTGCTCCTTGCGGAAGACCACAGACGAAGGATGAGGTTAAGAATGGGGGAAGTACTGCCGCCTACAGGTCTGGCATGTCCTTAACAACGTGTTTATCCGGGTACGTGTGGACAGAGTTTTTTTTTAAAAACGAGATGGTGTGGATACAAGTTTTTGGAGGGGCGGATATTCGTTTTTAAAAAAACCCGGCTACGTGTGGACTAGGCCTTAGACGGCGGGTTTTGGAGTCTTATTTTGTGGTATGTGGACATCTCGCCCCAGATTGGATAACAGCAATGCAACTCTACCACTGACTTGCAACATGGATATTTTATCTCTCAAAATACACTAGCCTGGAGGATCTTCTGCTGTGAGGTGTAGTTGCTAATGCTGACAGTTAGCTTGAACTAACCAAGACGTCCACTGCTGATTAACGGACGTTAAAACAACAACAGTCTTCCCTGTCATGAATCAAGATCGTCGAGTCCATGAATGCTAATTCACAGTGTGACTTAGATCTGTGAGGATTTTCAAATACATGAGTTTCATCTATTTTCAATCAGAAGCTAATGCAGGAGAAAGGTGTAGGAGACTATTTTCATGTTCAGCCTGCATGAAAAACTCAGAGTGGTCAATTATAATTACAAAAAGGTAAAGAAAATATCTGGCTAAATTTCATACAGACCAAACTTGGAAAATACTTTTCACTTGTTTTGAGTTCTCATGTGATAACTCAAGTTACTACTGACAGTAAAACATTTACCACAAGTGTTAACTGGATATGGCTTCTCACCTAGCGATGGGTACCGAATTCGGTGCTTTTTAAGGTACCGACCGAATTCCATAGTACCGACTGAACACCGATTCACTAGCCTGGCAAGCCAGACTAAATAAATGTATTATTTAGTCTGGCCACGCTCCATTGACGGCTTTCGGTTGTGGGGCGGGTTCTACCGTTGTCTTTCAAATGATCTCCGCATTCCACTGGACAATGAATGTGACATACAGTACTCTTGTTTCACTCTGTTGCATCATCCCACCCACCAGGCATATAGAGTGCCCTGATTGGCCCACAAAGTAGATAAAGCTCTGTGATTTGTTCACTAAGCAGATAGAGCACTATGATTGGCCCACCATTATGGACCAATCACAGCTCTTTATGTGTTTGAAACCCCTCTAGAGAGCTGTGATTGGCTAGCCAGAGTCCTGGTAGGAGCTGCTGAGGTTCCAATGGAGCATGCCTAGACCAATCTTTGCAAAGCAAGAATTTGTTCTAGTTCACTAGGCTACCAATTCACATCATTTGAAACGGTGCCTCGTTTCGGTACCCGTCCTTCATAACGAGAACTTGCCTAGACAGCTGTGCATGTGCAAGAGCGTTATGTCGTCGCTCGCTGCGAGCCAGTTGTAAACAGAACAGCATGGTAGAAAGAACGCACGCTAAAGCTTGGGTCCACTTCACTAAATGTGATGGGTAACTGGGTGATGATGAAACCAGCGACAACGATTTAAGTGAGAAATCCTCATCTTAATCTGCTCCTGTAGGTAAATAAAATGTTTAAGAAAACGTTAGCTTGATATGTTAGCTTCCGTTCAACTAATGGTGGGTTCGCTTTCTCCTCAGAACTCCAATTTTCCGACTAAAAGGACATGACAACGCTCTAAAGTTTGGCTTCACTTTACTAAATGCGACGGGTGATTGGGTGGAGATGAAACCAGCAACAATGATCCAAGTGTGAGGCATCATTGTTTAAATCTGCTCCAGCAGCTAAATAAACTGTTTAAGACACATATGTCAAGAGTCAAGGCCCGCGGGCCAGATGCGGCCCGCGGAGCATTTTTATGTGGCCCGCGAGATAAATATCAAAAATATATTAAAACTGGCCCGCTGGCCGACTTTACCGCAAAGACTTCAACTCCCATGATGCTTTGCGTTGTCAGCGCGGAGCCGACGAAGCCCCCTCCTTTGTGTTTTTTCAGCGCCTGCTGCCGGTCTCTGCAGCTCCGCTGTCTCGGACAAACTACACTCCTCTCACTCAGCGCCGAGTTCACTCAGCTGTTTTCTGACGTTGAAGACCAGAAACGGAGGTTCTAGCCACTCAGTAATGTGTTCACGACTGAAAGAAAAAGTGTTCCAACTAACTTCCAGACAGAGCCGATATAACTCCAGTGAACAGCGACACGCTCAAACCAGCATGACTCTGTGGCTGCAGTCGTTGTTTCCTCCACGACACACAACGCGGTCAAGCTGCTCAGACATGTTCATCAGCACAAATCTATGTGAGCACCTGTTGTCATCTAATGTTGTCATTATTATGATGAAGATGAACAAGACAACAGGATTCTTCTCCTCAGCTCAGATAAACCCCATGATGCAGGTATCTGGCTGGAACAGGTGAGCATCACAGTAAACCAGTGGAACAAACTGAGCTTTAAATATGTTGGTTTTATGCTTGTTTTCTGCTCCAAAACATGAAAGTTAACAGGTGAGATGTTGCATTTTCATTTAAGATAAAATTATTTTTATTTTGTTGTTGGCCCGTGAGAAAAGATTTAACCTACAGTAAACAGGAAGTGGAAAGGCTGCAGATAGATGAATAGAATAGAAAATCCCTTTATTGTTCCTCAGTGGGGAAAGCTAGATGTCACAGCAGCGATGACACTTATTACAGGAGAAAAAAAGGAGAATAAAAAATAAGAAAAATGAATAAACAAGAAAACATAAATCCTGAATAGATTTTAAAAATGCTGATTATACCACAAGTAATGAATACCACTGATGCCTTTTATTTAAAACTGACTTGCTCGTGTGTCATTTGGTTATTCCACATTCAGAGTTAATGCAGAAATAAGTTTGTTTCCAAATTTAAAGGTTCAAAATTGCATATATGTTGATAAAGAAAATGTGCAAATTTGCCGTCACTTTTTCAAAAATATTAAGTTTGGCCCTCGACTCCGTCCCAGAGTTTCATTTCGGCCCCTTGTGAGTTTGAGTTTGACACCCGTGGTTTAAGATAACGTTAGCTTGATAAGTTAGCTTCCATTGCCACCATTGTTGTCAGCTAATGGTGCGTTCGCTTTCTCCTGGAAATTCTAACTTCCCAGTAGGAAAAATCAAATGAAAAAGGACGGCAAAAGGAATGAAGATACACAATAAATTTAGTTCACAGTTAAGATGTTTGCTTCAGTTTAATTATCAGCTTATAAAACTACAAGGTCGATGTTAAAATACAAACAGTTGAATGTTATTTATTGTGATATTTATCAAATATGGTTATATATTGAGAAAATATATATATTTAATTATAAAATAATTAAAATATTAAACACTCAAAAGTATCTAAAATTGGTACAGTTAAGTACCGGTATCGATTCCTAGGTACAGGGAATTACTACAGAATCGATTCAAATGTCAAAGGTACCCATCCCTATTCTCACCTGTGTGAGTTCTCATGTGATAAGTCAAGCCACTACTGGCAGTAAAACATTTACCACAAGTTTTACATGGATATGGCTTCTCACCTGTGTGAGTTCTCATGTGTTTAGTCAAGATATTACTGGCAGTAAAACATTTACCACAAGTTTTACATGGATATGGCTTCTCACCTGTGTGAGTTCTCATGTGTTTAGTCAAGTCACCACTGGCAGTAAAACATTTACCACAAGTGTTACATGGATATGGCTTCTCACCTGTGTGAGTTCTCATGTGTTTAGTCAAGGTACTACTGGCAGTAAAACATTTACCACAAGTGTTACATGGATATGGCTTCTCACCTGTGTGAGTTCTCATGTGTTTAGTCAAGACACTACTGTTAGTAAAACATTTACCACAAGTGTTACATGGATATGGCTTCTCACCTGTGTGAGTTCTCATGTGATAAGTCAAGTTACTACTGACAGTAAAACATTTACCACAAGTTTTACATGGATATGGCTTCTCAACTGTGTGAGTTCTCATGTGTGTAGTCAAGTCACTATTGGCAGTAAAACATTTACCACAAGTGTTACATGGATATGGCTTCTCACCTGTGTGAGTTCTCATGTGTTTAGTCAAGGTACTACTGGCAGTAAAACATTTACCACAAGTGTTACATGGATATGGCTTCTCACCTGTGTGAGTTCTCATGTGTTTAGTCAAGACACTACTGGCAGTAAAACATTTACCACAAGTTTTACATGGATATGGCTTCTCACCTGTGTGAGATCTCATGTGTTTAGTCAAGATATTACTGGCAGTAAAACATTTACCACAAGTTTTACATGGATGTGGCTTCTCACCTGTGTGAGTTCTCATGTGATAAGTCAAGTTACTACTGACAGTAAAACATTTACCACAAGTGTTACATGGATATGGCTTCTCACCTGTGTGAGTTCTCATGTGTTTAGTCAAGGTATTACTGGCAGTAAAACATTTACCACAAGTGTTACATGGATATGGCTTCTCACCTGTATGAGTTCTCATGTGTTTAGTCAAGGTACTACTGGCAGTAAAACATTTACCACAAGTTTTACATGGATATGGCTTCTCACCAGTGTGAGTTCTCATGTGTGTAGTCAAGTCACTACTGGCAGTAAAACATTTACCACAAGTTTTACATGGATATGGCTTCTCACCTGTGTGAGTTCTCATGTGTTTAGTCAAGATATTACTGGCAGTAAAACATTTACCACAAGTTTTACATGGATGTGGCTTCTCACCTGTGTGAGTTCTCATGTGATAAGTCAAGTTACTACTGACAGTAAAACATTTACCACAAGTGTTACATGGATATGGCTTCTCACCTGTGTGAGTTCTCATGTGTTTAGTCAAGGTATTACTGGCAGTAAAACATTTACCACAAGTGTTACATGGATATGGCTTCTCACCTGTATGAGTTCTCATGTGTTTAGTCAAGGTACTACTGGCAGTAAAACATTTACCACAAGCGTTACATGGATATGGCTTCTCACCTGTGTGAATTCTCATGTGTAACGGAATCAAAGTGATGTAACTATCTAATGTTGTGTTTTAATACACTGTTAGTAGTTCACTTTTATAAACAGAAGAATAGGCTGTTTTTATCATCAGGGAGTTTAATTAAACACTCTGTATTGACTTTGAGACAAGAAAAGAGAGAGATATGGGATCGTTTGAGAATCTTTAATTTCTGAATTATAAATTCTAAACAATCTACCAGGACTACTCTGTGATGGATGAGAATGGATTCGGATGTTGTGTTGGTGCGTGTGTGTGAGTGTGTGTGTCTGGTTCAGATTCTCTAGGATGACGTAATCGAATCTGGTCGTCGTTGTTATGACTAGATATCACGAGGCTTATAAAGTGATGACATGAGCCGCTATTTTGCCGTGTACGTACCCAGTGGGGTCTCCCAAGTAGATCAGGAATTGCCAGGTCTGGAAACCTCGGATGTACGATGGAGCTGTCGGTGCAGCGATCACAACGTTTCAAAACCCGTCTGGAGGGTCGGCCCGGTACCGTTCAGCGGCGTCAGCAGGTGCTCTTATTTTGAAAGGACGTCGTCTGATTGTTAAACGACGAAAATCTCCCGTTTCACAGTTCTTAGTTTAAAGAAAACGCATCCGGCCAGGCTGCGCTTGTCTTTAGGATGATGGTGAATAGAACTGAAGTCAAGATGGAACTGACTTAAAATGGCGTTGCCTTGTTTTTATATCTCTGACTTGTTGATAAGTTTCAGTAAAGTAGATTGGACACTTGAAGTCAACACCAGATTCTCCTGCGGCAGCCGAAAGCTCTGATTGGTTGGAACAATGTGTCATGCGTTTCTATGGAGATGAGGATCAGTATGTCTGCACCGTAGTCCTGGTTTCATTAAACATAATTCATGACATATTTATTTCACAGATCATCCACTTGATTATTGTTGATCAACATCTGTTTTGCTTAATAATTTTAATCACAAATAAAGTACTTTGATTAAGTAAAGCTTCTTCTTCTCCTTCGGACTCTTCTCCTGGAATGTAAACAGTCTGAGGAACAACCCGACCTTGGTTTTTCTACACGGTGTTATTGTGCCCAGGGGCCAGCTGTATGGAGTTGAAAACCATGAACTTCATAACCTTACACATGTGACGACATAAAAAAGACTTGTGACTGAAATATTTTCCACAGAGCTTACAATAAAATGGCCTCTCACCTATGTGAGCCCTCTTGTGCTTTTTCAGTGTCTGAACATCTACATTGTCTCTGTGATCTTCGCTTTGCAGACGTCTTTTATTACGTGTCAGTTCTTCATTGCTGTTTGATTCTGAGTTTTCTTTCTTGCATCCACCCTGATCTTGGTTCTCTGCTTCTGTAGAATTCTGACTCAAGGGTTGGTTCCTGTTGGATTCTGGAACATGGCAGTCTTTTTCGTTAGAAGGATAAGTCCCTACGAAGGTTACATGTTTTTGCTTAAAAAGGAACTGCCCTTCATGCTGATGGATATAGAGTTCTGGCTGGTCCTCTGTGATCAGTAGATCTTCTGGTTCCTCCTGGTCCAAACTGGAGGTTGACTCTTGGTCAGAGAGCTGCTGGTCAGTCAGAACCTCTTCTTTTTCCCAGATATGATGCTGTGGAAGTTCTGGACAGGTAAAAAGAAAAAGAAAAATGTTGAGTAATGTGGCAATTAAAAATGTTACAATGAAGGCAGGAAGTTCAGGGCTCTAGAATGGGATGATTCTGGTCACAAATGTGACTCCATTTCTCAATGGTGCACCTAAATATCTACACTCAGGTTGCACCAGACAAAGAGTTAGAGAGATGCTGGTCTGTCAGAACCTTCTACTGTGGAAGCTCTGGACAGGTTAAAGTAAAAGTGGAAAATGTTGAGTGACGTAACAATTACAAAAAGAATATATATATATATATATATATATATATATGGAAAAAAAATATATATATACCTCCTCCTTGAACCGCCACCTTATCGTGGTGGAGGAAATTGAGTGCCCTAATGATCCTAGGTTGTCTGTATGTTGTCTGGGGCACTTTGTGCCCCTGGTAGGGTCTCTCATGTCAAATAGGGTCTTAGGTGAAGAGTGAGACGCAGAACGGTTCAGAGGAATTTTCATGGATGTAAATTCAAATAGTCGGAGGACCCGACCCGGAGGGTTACCGGTAGGGCTGCACGACATTAGGAAAACCTGCGATATTCGATAACAGTGCTTAATACTGCGATATCGATATTACTCACGATAAATGAACAAATACTTAAGTATGCAGTGTTGATGTCATCTGGCATGTGACGTCTGCTCTGGGTTCAAAGCAAACAAAAACAAATGCATGAATTCCATTACAACAGAACATTTTTACTGAAAAAATATGCAGCTGCACCTGCTACTGTATTAGCAGGTGCAATAACAACAAACTGCATGCATGCAGTTTCTCAGTGACTTTAAAACATCACCTCCACCATAAAACTTTTTCTGATGCTCCAAATACAGAAAAACATCCCTTACCAGGGTTTTTTGAATAAATAAAAAAAAATCAGAAAATAAGTTTAAATGTTAAATAATAGTTAACATCACTTAAATGCAACAGCAAATTCTCTCATTGCTACTGAACATTTTCTCCACTTATGTGGTTATGATATAAGGCTGTTGCTGTAATTGGGAAGTGATCTGTGCTGGGCCAAACTAGGAGAAAATTAAGATCTTTTGAGGTAAAAACAATTGTCTACCTTTCAGAAGAGGAACTGGCAAAAAAAACTACATGGAAAATATGTGAAAACATTTGGTTTTAACCCCAAATTGAACAAGTTTACCTAGATCTTAAAAAGCAGCTCAGATGATGAAACTGCAACTATGATTCTGATAACAAGCTAACAAATTGAACTAGCTCCTCTTAAGATAACCGGCTAGCAGAGCTTCTGACTGACAGTTTATGTGCAGCGGCAAATCAACTATCCTGATTAACAAGGTTATAAAACCTCATAAATGAAAAATCACTTTGATGTGTGGGGGAACTTTTCCAGGCCCTCATTAGCAGGGTGGGACTGGGAGGAGAGTGCTGTAGCCTTTAAGCTGGAAGCTAACCGGAGCCTGGGGCTAACACTAGCGACATGAAGGTGGGTTGGTTCACCGGCACATGTCGGAGTCAGCCCGGTAAAAATGATTAACGACACCGAGCGGAGTCACGTTCACGTTTGAAAGCAGCGCTGAATCCAGAAACATCAGCACAAAGTGCGTTCGTTGCTCTGAGCCAGCATGACGAACAAGGGAACAGCGCCGCAAACTCTGTTCGGGTGTCGCTTTCCAAAAGGGTCTATGGAGGTGGTGGGCGTATTACGTGAACGGACCCATCTGATTGGCCGCATATCAGAAGGACTACATTTGATTGATCAAATAATATTTCCGCGTATAAAACTGAGCTGGTTTACAAAAAGTTGATGTATGACATGGATGGAAATGTTTGAATCAAACATTTATCGCTGTTTTTGTTGTGCTTTGCGATGGGCCTATCACACGTCCTGTTATTGCGATGACGATACATTTTCGATATATTGTGCATCCCTAGTTACCGGGGTCCCCACCCAGGAGCCAGGCCTGGGCTTGGGGTCCGTGAGCAAGCACCTGATGGCCGGGCTTTCGCCCATGGGGCCGGGCCGGGCCCAGCCCGAACCGGATACATGGGCTCATCCAACAGTGGACCCACCACCCGCAGGAGGAACATGAAGGGTCCGGTACAGTGTGGATCGGGTGGCAGACCGAGGCGGGAGCCTTGGCGGTCCAATCCCCGGACAAGGAAACTGGTTTTTGAGACATGGAACATCACCTCGCTGGCGGGGAAGGAGCAGGAGCTTGTGACAGAGGTTGAGCAGTAATGGCTAGATATAGTCGGACTCACCTCGACACATAGCATTGGCTCTGGAACCCAAGTCCTTGAGAGGGGGTGGACACTCTCCTTTGCTGGAGTTGCTCCGGGTGAGACGCGGAGGGCTGGGATTGGCTTTTTGTTAGCCCCAGTGTTACGTTCCCCGGTAGTTTGTGTGAAGTTTATGGTTGTGTTTTACTTTTCATGTCACACAACATGGATCCTCTGAGCCTCTGGGGACAAGGACTCTTTGACTCTGCCAAGGGCTGCGGAGTTCAGGACCAGCAGCCTTGTGTGAACTTTGCCCCAAATGACATCAATGGACAGCTCCGGAGCAGAAGCTGCAGCTGAGGCGGACTGGGACTGATTGCGGTTGCCACATGAGGAGGATAAAACGTCGTTGGAACCATTACACGAGGAGCAACTCCTACCCATGGGTTGACTCCACTCCACGCTCCCTTTTCTCTGTTAAATGGTTTAGTCTGCTAACATCTTGAGAAAGTGCTATCTTGAATGAGAGTAAATCTCTGTACTTTTCTGGTCCAAACTGTGGAGAGGATTTGTTTTAAACTTGGTGGTATTTCGGTTATTAGCTTTAGAATCTTAGTTGTTTTGTTGGTACCAGTTAAAGATAATTAGTGGGTAAAGAAATGCCAAATATTTTGTTTGTGTGTAATAATTCCTGGTCCCAGCTGGGCTTTTGTTTTTGTTTGTAAATCCTTGTAATTATAATTGAACACAAAGAAAGATAAATTATTATTTTACAACCCGTTTCATCCCCTAATTTTTCCCAATGCTTACCCAGTTGAATGGGCTGGGTTTTCTTAACTAGAGTCGAGAACATAATAAAATGGGGGCTCGTTAGTCAGTAACTTTGGCTGGTGTTTTGCTGACTGTTGCGAGTTGGTACAGTCTCGCTCTCTTTTTTTTCTCGTTTTTTTTTTCTCCGTTTTGTGAGCTTCCCTGGGTTGTGACTAATACTTTTTTTTGTGTGTGTTTCTGTCATGTCTAGTTTTAATTTGGATGCCTTTCTGCAGGCTCCTTCCCGCGGACAGCTGGACGTGTGTCGTAAGCGAGATCTTTTGGAGGTAGCTGACTACTTCGGTCTCGCTGGTGCTCAGTTGATGCTGAAGATGGACCTGAAGGAGAAGATTGCCTCTGTGTTGGAGGAGCATGGGCTGCTGTCTCCGTTGGCGGATTCTGCTGTTTTGCCTTTGCAGCCGGGTGGGGGCTGTGTGGACGGTGTGGTCGCGGGCAGCGCGGCTGCGGGCAGCGCGGCTGCGGGAGCGACGGTGGAGCAGCTGACTCCTGACGGGGGTGCGGGTCGACAATCTCTTCCGTTGCCTCTCCCTGGCTCTGATCAGTCTTTTCCTGAGTCGAGATTTGGTTCTCCTGAACATGCCCGGCTGCAGCTGCGGTTGGCTCGTCTCAGACAAGAGGCTGAGGACAAACAGCGTGACAGAGAATACGAGTTTCGGAAACTGGAACTTGAAGCTGAAACGTCAATAAAACTTAAGCGACTGGAGCTGGAGATGCAGGCCCAGGCGCCGCGCCGATCGTGGAGCCCGTCAGCTGGCTTGACGGGTGAGACTGAGAAGCTGGACGTGGGGAAGTGCATGATGCTGATGCCACCGTTCCGTGAGGCCGAAGTGGACAGCTACTTCACCGCGTTTGAGCGCATCGCTGCGGCACTCAGTTGGCCGCGGGAAGTCTGGCCTCTCCTGCTGCAGTGCAAGTTAAGTGGCAAAGCACAAGAGGTTATGGCCTCATTATCGGTTCATGATTGTGCAAACTCTGATTGTGTAAAAGACGCTGTGTTGCATATGAATTGGTCCCCGAAGCATATCGCCAAAAGTTCAGATCTTTAAGAAAAAGGGATGGGGAGCAGACGTTTGTGGAGTTTTCTAGGGACAAAAGTCTATTATTTGATAAATGGGTGATGTCGTCAAAGGTAACAAACTTTGCTGAATTAAGAGAACTCGTTTTGCTTGAGGAGTTCAAGCGGTGTCTTCCTGAGAAAACTGTTTTATACCTAAATGAACAAAAAGTGTCTGCCTTGTCAGCTGCTGCTGTTTTAGCAGACGAGTTTATGCTTACACATCGGGTAAAATTGGAACACAAGGCAAAACCCGAAAGGCACTATGAGGGTAGACCGCGATTATCTGACGTGAAAGACGGGAAAAATCCAGTGAAGTGTTTTTTCTGTCATAAACCGGGTCACATTGTGAAGGATTGTTTGATTTTGAAGCGACGGAGAGAAAAATCTGAAAATGAAGTGGCGTTTGTTTCGGAGACCACGACGGAACATAAGGTCAGAAAACTGTACGACGGTTTTGAACCATTTATTTTTGAGGGCTCAGTAACCCTGGGGGGGAGTGAGTTGGACGCTGTCCCGGTTAAGATTCTGAGGGACACTGGAGCGTCTCAGACACTCATTTTGGATACTTTGCTTCCTTTTGATGATACCAGTTTTACGGATGTCTCAGCGCTATTAAGAGGTCTGACTTCGGAAGTGATCTCATGTCCGTTACATTCAGTAAATTTGAGAAGTGATCTTGTGTCGGGAAGATTCAAAATGGCAGTGTGCAAAACTCTGCCCATTTCGGGAGTTCATATTCTGTTGGGGAACGACATTGCAGGTGGCGCTGTTGTTCCTACACCGCAAGTGGTTGAAAAGCCTAAAATTTACCTTGTGTGGTATCCCCCCCAGGTATTTCTCCTTCCTGTGTAGTTACAAGGTCCTGTACAAAAAGGGATGTTGAAGACTTG